AGGGGAGGAGGGGGACCGGAGCATAGGGACAGGGGGGAGAGAGGGGAGACACGGAGGATGATGCCTGCAAAGCCCAGCTTCTGTGCTTCCTCTCTCAGCGCCTCGTTGGAGTCCTGTGAGTGAGAGGGGAGGAGGGGGAGAAGGTAAGGGGTTGTTTTGGTGAGCAGGGAAGAGAGGAAGGAAGCAGTGGGTGGGAGTGTTCGCAGCAACCACCCTCAGCGGTTTCACCATGATGCCTGCAAACCCCAGCTTCTGCGCTTCCGCCCTCAGCGCCTCGTTGGAGTCCTGCGAGTGAGTGGCGACACGGGGGACGGATAGGCGTGAGCAAAAGGACAGGGGAAGAGTGAGGGAGAGGGGAAGGAAGCAGTGGGAAATTGTCGCAGCAACCACCCTCCGTGGTTTCACACCATGATGCCTTCCCTTCTTCCTCGCTCAGCTTCTGCACCTCCTCCCTCAGAGCCTCGTTGGAATCCTGTGAGTGAGGGGGGAGAGGGGGAGAGACTGGGACGACGGCGGGGAAGGGAGAGAGGGAACCGGTGGACACAGGATCAAAAGCTACAGGATCAAAAGCTACAGGATCAAAAGCTACAGGATCAAAAGCTACAGGATCAAAAGCTACAGGATCAAAAGCTACAGGATCAAAAGCTACAGGATCAAAAGCTACAGGATCAAAAGCTACAGGTTACCTCAGAACGAGCAAACCCTTCTCGCTCGCCCACAAGATTCGCAGTTAGTGGTTTGTTTCGTTTCTCGTTCTCGCATCAGCAACACCAGCTAGCGTTTCTCACCTTGGCCACGAGCACCAGCGGGGGCGGGTTGAATGAAGTGCTACCCCATCAGCCACTCTCCCACGCCCACCCCAGTGAAGCCACGGAGTGGCTGATTGATGGAGTTGAGTCCGTCGTCTCTGCTGCTAGACGGTGCAGTGCAGTGCAGGGTGCGTAGGTCGAGTCAACAGCAAGCACTGGTTCTTTCTTACCTTGGCCACGAGCACCACAAGGGGAAGGTTGGAGTGCTGCTCCCACCCAAGGGAGGCGAGAGATTGCGTGATGGCGACAGGGTCAGTGGCGCGATGCTGTGAGGTGCAGGGTGAGTAGGGCGCTGGGTCTCACCTTTGCAACGAGCACCAGCAGCGGCAAGTTGGAGTGCTGCTCCCACCCAAGGGAGGCGAGAGATTGCGTGATGGCGACGGGGTCAGTGGCGCGATGCTGTGAGGTGCAGGGTGAGTAGGGCGCTGGGTCTCACCTTTGCAACGAGCACCAGCAGCGGCAATTTGGAGTGCTGCTCCCACCCAAGGGAGGCGAGAGATTGCGTGATGGCGACGGGGTCAGTGGCGCGATGCTGTGCCTCCAGGTCCCTCAGTTGCAGCACCATGCGGCCCAACGCCAGGCCTGTGGAGGGACCGTCACTGTCCAAATCGACCACCACCACATCCCACCGGCTCTTGCGCTGAGAGGTTACAGTCATGCCTGCGTGACGGGAGGGGAGCAGAGAGATGCCGTGAGCAGAGAAGCGCCGCACCATGCGGCCTAGAGCTAGCCCTGTGAAGGCGCCACCGCTGTCCAGGTCGACCACCACCACATCCCACCGGCTCTTGCGGGAGGCTGCTCCTGCCATGCCTGGATGAAGGGAGGGGAGCAGGGGGGGGGGGGGGCCAGGGAGGAGACGCATTGAGAGGCGAAACGAGCAATGCATTTCCCCAGTGTCAAGATAAGGGCGGGTAGATAGCTGCAAGCTCTGATCGCCGGCTAGTAAGCAAGCAATGCATCTCCCTCCTGCCCTTCAAGGTCTCTCAGCTGCAGCACCATGCGGCCCAATGCCAGCCCTGTGCAAGGGCCATCGCTGTCCAAATCGACCACCACCACATCCCACCGGCTCTTGCGGGAGGCTGCTCCTGCCATGCCTGGGGGGTGGTGGTGAGGGGAGCATAAGAGCGGAGGGAGAGGAGGGAAGCAGTTGGCAGATAAGCGCAGCACCACGCGGCCCAACGCCAGGCCTGTGGAGGGACCGTCACTGTCCAAATCGACCACCACCACATCCCACCGGCTCTTGCGCTGAGAGGTTACAGTCATGCCTCTGTGTGTGTGTGTGCAGCATAATGTGTGAGAAGAGGAGGAGTGGAGGAGGGGAAGAACAAGGGGAGGTGCAGTAAGGAGAGGAGTGAATCCCCCTGTGACTCCAGGTCCCTCAGTTGCAGCACCATGCGGCCTAGAGCTAGGCCTGTGGAAGGGGCCATCGCTGTCCAAATCGACCACCACCACATCCCACCGGCTCTTGCGTTGAGAGGTTACAGCCATGGCTAGGGGCGGAGGGCGATGAGGGGAGCATAGAGGCGGAGGGCGATGAGGGGAGCATAGAGGCGGAGGGCGATGAGGGGAGCATAGAGGCGGAGGGCGATGAGGGGAGCATAGAGGCGGAGGGCGATGAGGGGAGCATAGAGGCGGAGGGCGATGAGGGGAGCATAGAGGCGGAGGGCGATGAGGGGAGCATAGAGGCGGAGGGAACGGAGGGATGCAGTTAGCAGAGACACACAGCGCCATGCGACCCGTTGCCCAACGCCAGGCCTGTGGTGGGACCATCAATGTCCGTGTCCTCCACCACCACATCTTTGAACTAGTGTTTTCAAGTAGTGTTTTGAAGTAGTGATGGCCATGTTTTGAGTCGACTCCAAACTCGACTCATTACACAGGGACCATCACTTTCCATGTCCTCCACCGCCACATATTTGAAGTGGTGTTTTGAAGTGGTGTTTTGAAGTAGTGTTTTGAAGTAGTGTTTTGAAGTGGTGTTTTGAAGTGGTGTTTTGAAGTGGTGTTTTGAAGTGGTGTTTTGAAGTGGTGTTTTGAAGTGGTGTTTTGAAGTGGTGTTTTGAAGTGGTGTTTTGAAGTGGTGTTTTGAAGTGGTGTTTTGAAGTGGTGTTTTGAAGTGGTGTTTTGAAGTGGTGTTTTGAAGTGGTGTTTTGAAGTGGTGTTTTGAAGTGGTGTTTTGAAGTAGTGTTTTGAAGTAGTGTTTTGAAGTAGTGTTTTGAAGTGGTGTTTTGAAGTAGTGTTTTGAAGTAGAGTTTTGAAGTAGAGTTTTAAAGTAGTGTTTTGAAGTAGTGTTTTGAAGTAGTGTTTTGAAGTAGTGTTTTGAAGTAGTGTTTTGAAGTGGTGTTTTAAAGTTGTGTTTTGAAGAAGTGTTTTGAAGTCGTGTTTTGAAGTAGTGTTTTGAAGTAGAGTTTTAAAGTAGTGTTTTGAAGTAGTGTTTTGAAGTAGTGATGGCCATCACGTCTTCAAACACATGGCCATCACTTTCCATGTCCTCCACCACCACATCCCACCGGCTCTGGTGGGGTCATCCCACCGGCTCTTGCGGGGGGCTGCCATGCCTGAGTGCAGGGAGGGGAGCGGAGAACTGCAGCTGGCAAGAGATGCACAGCCATGCCTGGGGGATGGGGGGGAAAGGAAGGCACAGCAAGTAACAGGCAGGCGCACAGGCTGTGTGTGGCACTCAACCAACGTGCTGTTCTGTGCGGCAGAAGCAACACCAGCAGCACCAGCAACACCAGCAACAGGGCAGCAGCAGAGAGACTTCCAGTCAAAGAACATGCCACACCACACCGCACACCACACACCGCACCGTGCTGCACCAGTTTAAGGCTTCCACAACACAACGCACCGCACTGCACCGCACCACACTCACCAGTACCAGCAGCTGGGGCAGCAGGAGAGGTGACGTCGTGTCTGAGAGCCAAGGCAGCAGCAGAGACGCTGTCTGACAGATCCACCTTGAGGCCCAGACGAGCCATGCACGTGGCCAGGACCTGGTGGTGCGGAGGAAGCAGGGGTATAAGGAATTAGCTTGCTGTCAGCCAGTGCAGCAGCAGAGACGCTGTCTGGGAGATCCACCTTTAGACCCAGACGAGCCATGCACGTGGCCAGGATCTGGCAGTGTGGGAATTGGGGGGGGAGGAGGGAGGGGAAAGGGGGGAAGCAGGCTAGGGGTGTATGAGTGCTGAGCGCCAGGGCAGCAGCAGGGACGCTGTCTGACGGATCCACCTTCAGGCCTAGACGAGCCATGCACGTGGCCAGGACCTGGTGGGGGGAAGGGGGAAGGGGAAGGGAAGGAGAAGGGGGAGGGAGAAGAGTGGAAGTGGGGTTGAAAAGGGATGACTTCTGAACAACAGGGCAGCAGCGGAGAGACTGTGAGAGATCCCCGGTTAGACCAGGCGAGCCATGCACGTGGCAATCACCAGGCGAGCCATGCACGTGGCAATCACCAGGCGAGCCATGCACGTGGCAATCACCAGGCGAGCCATGCACGTGGCAATCACCAGGCGAGCCATGCACGTGGCAATCACCAGGCGAGCCATGCACGTGGCAATCACCAGGCAAGCCATGCACGTGGCAATCACCAGGCGAGCCATGCACGTGGCAATCACCAGGCGAGCCATGCACGTGGCAATCACCAGGCGTGGTGAGGTGCTTAAGGGGGGGAGGTGGCAGGAGTGTAAGGGATGAGCTCGCTGTCCGGCAGGAGTGTAAGGGATGAGCTTGCTGTCTGGCAGGAGTGTAAGGGATGAGCTTGCTGTCTGGCAGGAGTGTAAGGGATGAGCTTGCTGTCTGGCAGGAGTGTAAGGGATGAGCTTGCTGTCTGGCAGGAGTGTAAGGGATGAGCTTGCTGTCTGGCAGGAGTGTAAGGGATGAGCTTGCTGTCTGGCAGGAGTGTAAGGGATGAGCTTGCTGTCTGGCAGGAGTGTAAGGGATGAGCTTGCTGTCTGGCAGGAGTGTAAGGGATGAGCTTGCTGTCTGGCAGGAGTGTAAGGGATAAGCTTGCTGTCTGGCAGGAGTGTAAGGGGTGAGCTTGCTGTCTGGCAGCGAGATAGGCGTGGCACCCACCCACTTGCTGTCTCACGGATCGACCATCAACACCCAGGCAGCTTTTTAGTCGACTCAAAAGTCACCTGGCAGCGCAATAGGCGTGGCACCCACCCACCTGTTGCCTCACGGATCGACCACCAACACCCAGGCAAAGCAGCCCTCTCCGCTTGCCCCCCATCGCCAGGCCCTCCGCCTGCTGCTGTTTCCATTCCACTCCCTCCAACCCACTATAAGCAGATGGCGGGATATTATTAAAGAGAACCCAGCCAGGCACCGCAGCCCCCTCAGCTTTCCCCTCGGAGCCAGGCTCTCTCCACCTGCTGCTTTCATCCACCCCATTCCGCTCCCTTCACTTCCCACCACACCAATACAGCCGGAACGTACCTGCTGCCTCACGGGTCGACCGTCCCCTGCCAGGCATCTCAGCCCCCTCTGCTTGCCCCTCAAAGCCAGGCTCTCCGCCTGCTGCTGTTTCCCATCCCATTCCACTCTAAACATAGTGAAGTAAAAGGATTATGCAGAACCCACCTGCTGCCTCACGGGTCGACCGTCCACTGCAAGGCATCTCAATCCCCTCAGCTTGCCTCTCAGCGCAAGGCTCTCTGCCTGCTGCTCGTCCGGGATTGGCCCGAAGCCCGCGTGGAAGACACGTGGCAGCGCGCTAGAGGCCGGGCCGGTGGGCGGCTGGGCGAGCGAGATGTCGAAAGTGAATGTTGAGCCGATTCCGGGGCGGCTGTAGACGAGCAGTTGGCCGTGCATGGCCTGCACTAGACTGGTGGGGGGGGAGGGAGGGGGGGGAGGCATGGGAGAGAACGTTGGGTGGCTGGGCGAGTGAGAGATCATAAACGGAGCCGATTCCGGGGCAAGGAGGGGGTTACAACGAGCAAGAGGCGGAAGGTGAATGTTGAGCCGATGCCAGGGCGGCTGTAGACGAGCAGCTGACCATGCATGGCTTGCACAAGACTGCGAGAGTGGGGGCGGGTGCAGGATAGGGGTAGGGGAGGGGAAAGGAGGGGGTTACAACGAGCAAGAGGCGGAAGGTGAATGTTGAGCCGATGCCAGGGCGGCTGTAGACGAGCAGTTGGCCGTGCATGGCCTGCACCAGACTGGAAGAGAAGGGGAATATGGAAAAAGGGAATGGCACAGGGGGCGAGAGGGGAGAGTGGGTGGCTGAGCAAGCGAGAGATCAAAAGTGAAGGTTGAGCCGATTCTGGGGCGGCTGTAGACGACCAGTTGGCCGTGCATGGCTTGCACCAGACTGGATAAGGAAGGGGAGGAGGGAGGGGGGGGGGGGGGAAAGGAGAGAGAAGGGAGGGGAGAGGGGGGAGAGAAAGGAGCGAGAAGGGGGGGAGAGAAAGGAGCAAGAAGGGGGGGGAGAGAAAGGAGCGAGAAGGGGGGGGAGGGTGGGGGAATGGGGCGTATAGATTTGACAGAGGGAGCAAATGAGAGATAACGTGAAAGGCGAAGCTGATTCCGGCGCGGGCAGCTGTAGATGAGCAAACGGCTGCCTCTCGCCCACCACTCCCCACCACTCCCCACCCCTCCCCAGGACCTCCCCACCGTTCTTTTGAGGCGTCTTAATGAGAGCAATCACACACACATGCGAAGGAGGGAACCCGCATACTTTTGAGAAACATTCAGCAGCAGCGGCACAGCGCCAAAGCGCTGCTGCTGCAGCGGGAGGGAGAGCGGTTGGTATTTGAGAGCTCTCGAAAAACAACAGGCTTACTTCTGAGCGACGTTCAGCAGCAGAGGGACGGCGGCGAAGCGCTGCTGCAGCGGCAGGGAGAGCGGTTGAAAGGGCTTTTCGAGAGCGTCAAACACAGCGTCTAGCAGCCCCACCCCCGTGTCCTCCAACGTACACATCAGCCTCACACCCCCTCGCACACCACCACTCCCCACCGCTCCCGACCCCCCTCCCCCTCCTCCCCCTCCTCCCCTTCCACCTCCTCCGCACCCTCCGCCCCTCTCCCCTCCCCCACCAACCCCCCCTCCGCCCGCCCTCCCCCCATCCCCACCACCCCCCTGCTGCTGCTGCGGCCCCATGAGGCGCCGGAATCGAGCCTCCTGCTCGCGGATCATGCGGCAGATGCTCTCCCAGCTGTTGCTGCCGTCCGCTGCTGCCCTCCCACTCAGCGTCAGGCTCTCCCCCTTGGCTTGGCTTGCACGGCCTCGGGCGATGCGCTCAGCTTCCACTGCCTGCGCCTCCCTGCTGGGAGCTGGTGGAGGGTGGGGGAGGGCAATGGAGGGGGTGGGAGGGGAGGGGATAGGGGTGACAGCTCAGCGTGAGGTTCTCCCCCTACGCCTGGCTCGCCCGCCCTTGGGCGATACGCTCTGCTTCCACTGCCTGGGCCTCCCTGCTGGGGGCTGGGAGGGAGGTGGGCGAGGGAGGCGGGGAAATGGGAGGGTGGGGGAGGGAGCGGGAGCGCGAGGGGGGGAGGAGGGGGAGGGGGAGAGGGAGGAGGAGGGGGAGGGAGGGGCCCGCTCAGCGTGAGGCTCTCCCCCTTCGCCTGGTTCGCCTGCCCTTGGGTGATGCGCTCTGCTTCTACTGCCTGGGCTTCACAGCTGGGGATGGGGGAGGGGAGGCGAGGGAGAGGGGAAAGGGAGGGGAAGTTAGGGGACCTGCCATGCCGTGCACCTCATCAGGTCATCATCAGGAGTCATGTGTCATGAGCACATGTGACATGGCACACCAGCGTATGTTTTTTGAGAATTCTCAAATGGCATGGCACACGAGGTCAGGAGGCAAGAGAAGATGTGTGACATCTCATGTGAGCCTGCGCCTGGCTCGCCATGCGGTGAACACGAGAGGCACGCGCAGCGCAGCGCAGCGCTGCGCGAAAGAGTTGGGATCTGCCATGCGCCTCGTTTCATCATCATCCGAAGAGAGACAGGCGCAGCACCAGGAAAGAGCACAAGCGAGGAGGCACACACACGAGCGAGGAGGCACACACACGAGCGAGGAGGCACACACACGAGCGAGGAGGCACACACACGAGCGAGGAGGCACACACACGAGCGAGGAGGCACACACACGAGCGAGGAGGCACACACACGAGCGAGGAGGCACACACACGAGCGAGGAGGCACACACACGAGCGAGGAGGCACACACACGAGCGAGGAGGCACACACACGAGCGAGGAGGCACACACACGAGCGAGGAGGCACACACGAGCGAGGAGGCACACACACGAGCGAGGAGGCACACACACGAGCGAGGAGGCACACACACGAGCGAGGAGGCACACACACGAGCGAGGAGGCACACACACGAGCGAGGAGGCACACACACGAGCGCATGCTTGCAAGTTGCCACCACCAGTTACCAATTACCCCACCTTCCATGTCGTCGGGCGAGTTGGGATCCGCCATGCGTCGCATCTCATCATCATCCGGCGCCAGGCGCACCACCAGGAACACGTGCCCGCGGTCGGTGAGCCGCACCGCCACTGCCATTAGATTCGCGAGGATCTGATAAAGGGGGGGGGGAGGGGGATTGCGGTTGGTTTTGAGAGAGTGGAATGGGAAGAGTGAGAGGGCGATGGAGAGGGCCAGGTGCACCACCAGGAATACGTGGCCGCGGTCGGTTAGTCGCACCGCCACTGCCATGAGATTCGCGAGGATCTGATGGTGAGGGGAAAAGAGAGGAGAGTGAGGGATGGGGAGATTGAGAGGGCGAGGAGGGAGTGGAAGATGGAGAGGGATGGAGAGGAATGAAGAGGGCAGCACCAGGAACACGTGGTCGCGGTCGGTGAGCCGCACCGCCACTGCCATTAGATTTGCGAGGATCTGATAAAGGGGGGAAAGAGGGGGGTGGGTGGATTGAGAGGGTAAGGAGGGAGTGGAGGGTGAGAAAGGTGGAGAGGGATGGAGGGAGAGGAATGAAGAGGGCACCACCAGGAACACGTGGCCGCGGTCGGTTAGTCGCACCGCCACTGCCATTAGATTCGCGAGGATCTGACGTGACGATGGGGAGAGAGGGTTGGGGCGATTGAGAAGGTTGGGGCAATTGAGAGGGTTGGGGCGATAGAGAGGGTTGGGGAGAGAGTGGGTTGGGGAGAGAGTGGGTTGGGGAGAGAGTGGGTTGGGGAGAGAGTGGGTTGGGGAGAGAGGAAGAGAATGAGAGGGTAGGGAGGGAATCCCACAGGAGCAAAAAGCAAACCCACGTGTGCCACACAACACCCACCAAAGAACCACTCCCATCTCACCTGTCGCAGCCTGAGGGGGTCCCCAACCCAACGACCACAGTAGGCACGGAGTCCATGAGCAGCGGCGCCGCCAGCTGAGGAGAGGCAGGTGAGTGAGAGGAGGGCCGTGAACAGCAACCCACCCGCCCACCCGCCCGCCCGCCCGCCCGCCCGCCCACCCACCCACCCACCCACCCACCTGGCGCAGCCTGAGCGGGTCCCCCACGACCACAGTGGGAACTGAGTCCATGACAAGAGCAGCCAGCTCAACGCCCTTCTCCCGTGCCTCGCCGGCCACGAGCAGCACCACTTCATCCACCACACACCGCAGGTCAAACACAGCACTCTCTAACCCCAACCGCACCACGCTCCCCCTCTCCACCGCCCCAGCCCTGCCTCCCCACGCGCCTCCCCCGCCTGTCCCCCCTCCTCCCCCCCCGCCTCCTCCTCCCTCTCCTCCCCCTCCCCCTCCCCCTCCCCCTCGTTCCCCACGGAAGATTGCAGCGGCGGCGGACGATGCAGCGGCGGACGAGGCGGCGGCGATCCGACGGTTCTCGATGCGCCAGCTGTCGACGACGTTGTTGGCGACGTGGATGATGTGGCGCGACGTGGCCTGCACGGCTGCCAGCATGTCGCGCTGCGATTCGTCGAGGGAGGAGGAGAGCAGCAGCTGCAGCAGACCCAGTACGCCTGGAGAGTGGGAGAGCGAGAGTGCGAAAGCGAGTGTGTGTGTGTGAGAGAGAGATGTGTGTGGGTGGGGGAGAGGGGGGGGGGATGAGGTCAGAGAGAAAGGGGGGGAGAGAAGGAAACGAACGAGAGATAAAGAGATGACAAGCCACGTCACCACGGGCAATAACAGGGTGATGGGCGCGGATAGTTGGGAAGAGATGGGTGGTTGGTGTGGGGAGGGCGGAAGGGGGAGGAGAGAAGAGGCTTGACGAGCTGGTGGGGAGATAAGCAAGAGAAGACCCTTCAACAGGGCAGCAAGTTTGATCTGATCTGATATGTGGCTAGTGCCTTCTCTCAATTGTATTCTTAAATGACGCCAAAAAACGCCGCCCTTAGCGCCTCTAAGTGCGCCTCTAAAAGCCGCTCTCACTAAGTTACTTACCTCTAAGCGGCGCTCTTATCTCATGCACCAGAATCCCCAACAGAGAGCTCCGCCCCACCGATACCGCCAGCTTGCTGCCAGCTGTCACCACCGCCCTTCCGTCCGAACCTCCCTCCGAACCTCCTTCCGAACCTGACATCCCTCCAATCCCCCCCGCACCCCTCCCCCGTCCGCTTCCGCCTTCTTCCCCCTCCGCCCCGCCTTCCCCCAGCCTTCCCCCGCGCCCGCCCCCTCCCCCTTCTAATGCGCGGAGGCGCTCCTCCAGCGCGCCGAGTTCCGCCAATCCGCTTCCCAATGCGCGCAGCGCGCAAATCATGAACCCTAGCACGGCCGCCGCCGCCGCTAGCGGGGACCACCGCCACGTCAGCACGTCCACGGCTGGGTGCCACGGGACAGGACACGTGGCATTAGTCCATCGCGTCGCGTTCGCCGGTTGGCTCCCGCCAGCAGCGCCGGAAACAGCGGAGGCATCGACGGAAGTCGTCTCAAAATCTTCCGCATTGGCGGAAGGCGGAAATTTGCACGGGGTGAGGGGGTCCTCATGCGCGGGGAGGGTTGCGCGGAGAACACTAAATGCGAGAATCACCGCGACCAGATACGAGCCAGTCAGAGCAAGCCACGTCAACCAAGGCAGCCGCACCGCGCTGGGGATAGAATTCTTGCCACGTGTCGTTAATGTCGCTGTATCACTGGCGTCTGGCCCGCGCTTCCCATTGGACGGTTCCTCGTCTCGGACCACTCTCGCGCGCTGTTTATTCCCTTTATCCCCGTCTACTATTTCGTTCCCGTCGTCACTTCCGCCGTCGCTTCCGCTGTCGTCCGCGTCACTCTCCGCATCGCGACTCGCCTCCGTCTCGCCCTCGCTGCTTTCCGCCGATTCTTCCGCCTCCTCCACGCGCCTTTCCGCAGGCGCCTTTCGCCCCCGCCACATGCTGCCAATGCGCGCGGAAAGGACTGTTTATCGCGCGCCAGACACCGCGTCGGCTATGAGAAAAATAGGGTTACGGCGGGAATGTCTCCACTACAGTATGGCGTTGAACTGGTGACTGGAGCAGTTAGGCAGGCTCTCACCGGCTGGATTGACGGCTAGGCGGCAGCAGTCACAACAGGGCGGTAGGTGGTAATTCCTGAAGACTCCAGATTATCGGCCCTGACCAAATTTCCCCCATCTTCGAACTACACCACAGTACACCCTATAATTTCACTTTCTAACCCATCTACTTACTGGTTGGACCCTCCTTTCCAAAGTGTAATTTCGAATCATTTTAAAAGCTCAACAATATTCTTGTTTATTAGATGTTCTTTGGAAAGCCAATATTACGGTATGACCTTAAGCTTCTTGATGTTCTCTTCTTATGTTCTTCCTGCTCTTTTCTTGACCAATTTCGCACAACTTAGCAGAAACCATAGTGATCAATATAATACTGCATTATAAAATCCTTTTATTACACAAACCCCCCGCACCGAAGTACGTTGCCTTCCCCCAACCGCCTCAACCAAGTCACTATGATCCACCATGCTACTCCATCCATCCCCTCCTCCCTTCTAACTCCATCCAAAGCTCCTCCTGCCCATCTTGATAACATAGGGCAGAACCATTTCTCCACCTCAGCGCACCACCAAAACCGGCGCTCTAGAAGCACCCCTGGTCATTGGGAGTCCCGGCGTTCATGCACACACCATACCTCTTAGGGTTAATGGCAGCATCAATAATGCGCTGCCAGTACATCTGCCCGGGGATAGTGCCATCAGCCTGGGGGTTGCGGTAGGTGGGCCAGTGGCGGTTGAAGAAGCACTGCTGCGCGCGGCAGTAGGGGCACCCGGGGCAGGTGGCATCCTCAGTGCAGTTAAAGCCCAAGTAAGGGTCAGGCTGGGTGAAACGGCACGTCTCTGGTGAGGGGAGGAGGGGGGAAAGAGGGGACGTGAAGGGAAGAGAGGGGAAGAGAGGGGAGGAGATGAGGATGGGAAGTGACCGAAGACTGCTCAGCTACATGAAGTAAGCTTACGTTGGGAAGGATGGGGAGGAAGTAAAAGGGTGGGGGCAGAGCGAGAATAAATCGGTGGACGAGAAATGGCGTGCCAGAGTGTGCTAACGGTGTGACGAAGGCTTGAAGTGTGTGCAAACAGTGCGAGTAGTGGAGTGAGAATACTGTGCAAAAAGTGTGAGTACGTACTGAAGCCAGTGGCCCAGTCATCGACGCCCGGCCACTGCAGGTTGTTGTTGACGTACGTGTACCACTTGCCGTTGGGCTTCTTCACAGCAAGCCCGTACACCGGGTGGTACCTGCACGCACCAGAAAGCACCGCACCACACCGCATAGCACGGCTCAGCACAGCCCGCGTGGGAACCAGCAGCGCATAGCATCCAAGGTAGAATTGCGCAACGAAAATTCAAACTTTAGGAACAATATGATCAATATCACTAGACAAATACTCACCGGGGCTTCTTGTACGGGTAGGAGGCGTATCCGGGATCAGTGGCGAGCGTGTTGGTCCAGTTCGCCACTTCCTCCGGCGCATCTGTCGGCAGACTCGTATCCTCCAGGGTAGACGAGTACGCGACAGCGCGCGCGTCGATCTGATCCAGCGCCGCGCCGATATCCGCGGGATCCATGAACTGATTCAGCGCCACATACGGTGGAGGCGCCGGCTGGGTGATCGGATCGAGAACCGCGGGGTACGTGTCGTTGACGTTCGGGTCGATGGTCGCGGCGATCGCGGCGGCGTCCATAGACGCGTTGGTTGCGGGCCACGGGGACGGGATGGTCTCCATTGCAACGATGCCGGACGAGTCTTCCTCTGGCGCGGGCGCGGGCGCAGGCGCGGGGGTCGTGAGCATTCGACCGCGGAAGGCGGAAGCAGGGGACGGGAGGGACGCGGCGGAGAGGAGGACCAGCGCGAGGAGCGCGCCGGGCAGCGCGCAGAAGCGGGAGGTCGCCATGGTTGAGTCGAAACGCCTCGCGGATGGAGAAGCTTCAAAAGGAAGGTTGGAATGAAAGGTTAGAATGGAAGGTTGGAATCGAAGCTCGAGAGGGAAAGCTCGAGACTGAAGCTCGAGTTTTGACGCTTGAGAAGCTCTCAAGCTCGCTGAAGGATCGATGGCTGCTGATGAGAATTAGCTAGCTCGACTGGGCTTTTGTAGTTAGCAACGGGGTGGTGGACAGCCCCGAATTTGCCCGAGTACAGCGGGATGCGTGAGAGAACGTGTGTGAGGGGAATCGTTGCGGTCACGGTGTTCGTCCAACAGGGAATCGGGTCGCGTCACGACTCGCGAAGCAGTTGTTGCAAGGCAACGCGATGCGATGCCTGGTGCATGCGACGGACGAGATTAGGCTGGTTGTTGGGAGGGAACGAGAAGAGAGAAGGGCGAGACATGTTTTCCCAAAGGCGACGCAGAGAAAGGCAAGTCTGGACGACGGTGGGATGAGATGAGATGACAGTTGCGCATTGCGGTGCTGTGCTGACTGGCAGCAGAAATGTTTCTTTGCTGCTGGGATGGGATGGGATGGGACTCGTTTTCCTGCTGCTTTGGCATTTGTTTCCCTGCTGCTTTGCTCTTGTGCTTCACGATGCGCGCTGGACAGCTTGAAGATGAACCGGCGGAGATGTACAGTTGGAGGTGATTCGCGAAAGAATCGAAGGCGAGCAGATGGACGACAGCGGGTTGGCGATAACGAAGAGAATGGCGGGCGATGAGTCTTCGCGAAACAGTGGAGATGAATCGACGAATATGAACCGGCGAAGACGAATCACCAACTCTTGAGTGGCATGACAAGCATGCGTTGCACACATTGTGCCCGCAAATGGCGGAGGAGAAGACCAAACGACACGAACGCGTTACTCGGGTGCCGCATTCTGCGCAGACGTTGTGTTGTCCTCACTACAGTGTATCTACACTCACGAACTAAATCGAGAACCTACGGTACCAGTACCTATGTCTAAGCTTGCTTTTCCTAATGTGACATGCAAGAACATTTTCCAATTTAATATAATTTGTGACCAAGAAATACCATCACAAGGCAACTGGTGGGTTAGGCATCAACCCCCTCACAAATCCTGCTTGACTAACACTACGCAAAAGCTACGCATGCTGGCATCCGTGCAATTGGATGGAAGGAACCCAAACATAGCCACCACTCAGTACAAAAATTCCACTTTAGGACTGTTCTCATGTGTACTGCTGAAGGTCAGCTCAACCCTCGTTCGTGAATTAATTTAATCACTGCACGGTTGTCCATAAAGAGCACTCTGTAACTGTTAATGATGCTGCAAGAAACGTGTGGCAAACAAGCCAGGAAACATGTTTCCATCCACCCAGTAGGTTCAAAACGGATTGTTTTTACAGGGATGGGGCCTTCTGTTCTGTAAGTATACATGAACCGTCATAAGCTTTCTGCCAGAAAAGGATCTTCTTTGAACGAGGCGAAGGGGGGCGAGTCAAGAGCAGTGCGAGCGATGGCCCCATCCTCGTGGATGCGAGCTATGAGCGCGGGGAGCGAGGGAAAGTCGGCCTGCAGGGTTAAGGTGCAGCAGCAGAGAATGGGGTGGTCAAAGGGGAGAACAGCGTGAGTCAAGAGCAGTGCGAGCGATGGTCCCATCCTCGTGGACGCGAGCGATGAGGGCGAGGAGCGAGGGGAAGTCGGCCTGCAGGGTTAAGGTGCATCAGCAGAGAATGGGGTGGTCAAAGGGGAGAACAGCGTGAGTCAAGAGCAGTGCGAGCGATGGTCCCATCCTCGTGGACGCGAGCGATGAGCGCGGGGAGCGAGGGGAAGTCGGCCTGCAGGGTTAAGGTGCATCAGCAGAGAATGGGGTGGTCAAAGGGGAGAACAGCGTGAGTCAAGAGCAGTGCGAGCGATGGTCCCATCCTCGTGGACGCGAGCGATGAGTGCGGGGAGCGAGGGGAAGTCGGCCTGGAACGAGAGGTTGCGGGATGGAAGAAGGGAACAGGGAGCAATTCAGAATATGAGCCCTACCAACAACCCCACCCATCCTCATGCATGCGAGCGATGAGTGCGGGGAGCGAGGGGAAGTCGGCCTGGAAAGAGAGGTTGCGGGATGGAAGAAGGGAACAGGGAGCAATTCAGAATATGAGCCCTACCAACAACCCCACCCATCCTCATGCATGCGAGCGATGAGTGCGGGGAGCGAGGGGAAGTCGGCCTGGAACGAGAGGTTGCGGGATGGAAGAAGGGAACAGGGAGCAATTCAGAATATGAGCCCTACCAACAACCCCACCCATCCTCATGCATGCGAGCGATGAGTGCGGGGAGTGAAGGGAAGCCGGCCTGTGCTGTGTAGGAAGGTGCAGCGAGAAAGGGCGGTTAAAGGGGAGCATGCGATATAGGCTATCTTTGAGGATGCGAGTGGTGAGCGGGGGGAGCGAGGGGAAGTCGGCCTGTGCTGTGTAGGAAGGTGCAGCGAGAAAGGGCGGTTAAAGGGGAGCATGTGATATAGGCTATCTTTGAGGATGCGAGTGGTGAGCGGGGGGAGCGAGGGGAAGTCGACCTGTAGAGGGAAGGTGCGAAACCAGAGAAAGGGGTGGAAAAGCAGGGGTAGGGGGGATCTAGGAGGGAGGGTGAGGGAGGTTGAGGAAGTAGAGCGATGTGAGGGTGAGGAAGGAGGGCGAGGTGAAAAGGGTAAGGAATGAGTGTGAGAAAAGGGGTGGGGAAGGATGGAACATAACACATTTTCCTAAGCGCCTTACGAAGCACTCAAATGCTGCTCTAAATGATGCAACACATAGGCCCAGTGAGCCTGAAGGATGGTCAGCTCACCTCAAGGTGGATATTTTCAACCATCACCTCACCTCAGGGCGGATATATCCAACCACCACCAGCCTGAGCTCACCTCAGGGCGGATGTATCCAACCACCACCAGCCTGAGCTCCTCGTCGTAAAAGTCCTCCCCGAAATCATGCAGCAGCCATGGCTCCTGGGAATGAGCGGCAGGAGAAAGAAGGTAGATTGGGGCGGTTACACATTGCCCACCATCATGCAGGAGGCATGGCTCATGGGAATGAGCGGCAGGAGAAAGAAGGTAGATTGGGGCGGTTACACATTGCCCACCATCATGCAGGAGGCATGGCTCATGGGAATGGAAGCGGCGGGGATGGGGGGGGGAGGGGGAGAAACGGGTATACATGAACACATGTGCGCATACACAAGCGCACACACACACGCACACGCACACGCACACACACACGCACACGCACAGATACACGCACACGCACAGACACACACACACGCACCCACACACACACGCTCGCGCCCGCGCACGGGCGCGCGCGCACACACACACACACACAAAACACACACCACTGTATTGTGTGTATTGTTGAAGGGATTCCACCCCACACTCATGCACACACCTATACATGCACACACCTATACATGCACACACCTATACATGCACACACCTATACATGCACACACCTATACATGCACACACACAGACTCACCACTGCCTTGTGCGTGTTGTTGAAGAAAGGGTTCCAGCCCTCACTTGCCACCATCTTGAACACTCCCACACACTCATGCACTTGCACACACCCATACACATGCACACACCCATACACATGCACACACCCATACACATGCACACACCCATACACATGCATGCACGAATGCATACAAGCGCACTCACCACGGTCTTATAACGATCTTGAACACTCCCACACACACACCCGCACACATACCTCACATGCACCCACACCCACGTACATGCACCAACCTCAGTCTTGTTTGTGATGTTAACGAAGCGGTTCCACCCCACACTCATCACCATCTTGAACACGCCCACTACACACCCCCACACACACATGCACATACCCAGACACACACACACAGGCACACACCCGTGCACACACCCACTCATTTGCACACAGACCAGCACGTTGACACGCACTCACCACAGTCTTGTGTGTGTTGTTGAAGAAAGGGTTCCAGACCACACTCATGACCATCTTGAACACGCCCCTGCCCTTCAGCCCTGCCCACCCGTGGTAGATGCCACACACGTGCTCTGCTAGATGCCCTGTGAATGATGAGGCTGGGAGGTTGGCTGGAACAGAGAGATGGGGAAGGAAGGATAATGGAGGATTTGAGTTCATTACACACCGTCCGCCCGTGGTAGATGCCACACACGTGCTCTGCTAGATGGCCCATGAAGCCAGATGCTGGGAGATTGGCTGCAGGGGAATGGGGGGAGAACGAGAGCGGGTAGGGTCACTTGAGTTTATTACACACTGCCCACCCGTGGTAGATGCCACACACGTGCTCTGCTAGATGCCCTGTGAATGATGAGGCTGGGAGGTTGGCTGGAACAGAGAGATGGGGATGGAAGGACAATGGAGGACTTAAGTTTATTACACACCGTCCGCCCATGGTACATGCCATGCCACACACGTGCTCTCAGAAAACTAGTTCTGAGACATCTAGAAAAGCACGTATTGAGACGTCTTTACGAGCAAGCTTTGAGACGTCTGGAAAAACATTGCCAGACAGGAGACAGGAGCCTGGCAGGCCAGGGGGTTGGATGAGAGAGAGTGAGTGAGAGAATAGAGAGTGAGTGAGTGGGGGAATAAGCGGGGAGAGAGGAAGATGTGGGGTTTTGAGGCGCCTCAAAATAGGCGGGGAGAGAGGAAGATGTGGGGGTGACTACCTGTGGGAATGCCGAGGACCTTTGAGCCGCCCCCAACTCACTTGAAAACTGGGGCCTTAGGGTGTTATTGATAGCTTTCAAGACACCCTAAACACTCACCTGTGGGAATGCCGAGGACCTTTGAGCCGCGCCCAAATCCCTTGATGACCGGGCCTTTGATGTACCAGGGAGGGATGGGGAGAGAGCGGTGCAGCCCTGAGAGAAAGAGAGGAGAGGGAGGAAGAGGAGAGGGGAGGAGAGAGAGGATATAATGAGGAACAGCCTTTAATGACCGCGCCTTTG